CCCAGTTAGCGAAACTATTGATATTATTATAAGAAACATATACAATAATCCGTCTCTACCTGAACTTAAAATTAAACCTAGTATATTACGGAAACTACTGTTAACTTGCACTGCTGAAGTCCTATTCTACGATTGCAAAATTAATATATAAGTACAACGGGATGGTGTTTCTATGGGTTCATTTCTGGGCCGAACTTTTAGTAATTTCTATATGTCTAGTCTTGAAAATAATATATGTGATAAATTTAAAAACCCTACATATACCTAAGATATGTTGATGATATCTTTATATTAGTTAAGAATATGGATGAAAAATATCAACTCTAAAAACAATTCCAAAATAATTCTGTCCTTAAATTTACATACGAACCTAATATAGTAATAATATCCCTTTTCTACATATACTGATAAACACCAATAATAATAAATTCACTATCTCCCCATTAAAAAAACCTACTAGCATAAATTCTTGCACTCTTAACTATAAGAGTGAATGCCCAAATTACTATAAAATAGCCAGTATAAAAAACCCTAATAAACCGTGCAAAAATTAATTCATCTACACTACAGATTTTCTACAGTGAAGTATAAATATAAAACAAACTCTTATTAATAACTTCCCTATTTATATTGTTAACAAATAAGATGTTGGGAATTTTAATTTAAAGCAAATAGTATATAATGCTTCTGCAATTAGAACTAAACATATTAATCTTTTATATCGCAATCAAATACATTTTAATTATAAACAAGACGAAAATATCCTAAAAACCTAATAAATACTAATATATCCATCACAGATCGTAGGAAAAAAAAATTAATTATATATTATACTGAATTCAATATATCCTATTTAATAATTCGTAATGAGTCCTCCCCAACAACTAATCTGTTGCAGAAAACCAACATTGTATATAAATTTAAATGTCCTTTGAAAGATTGTATTTCCAACAGAAAAACTAATATATATGTTGGCCATACCACTACTACGTTGTCTCGAAGGTTGAGTTTTCATTTGAGTGATGCATCTAACATCTCTCAACATTAAGTCTATCCACATTCGCAATTTAGGAAAATTCTTGTTGAAAATAATGCATCTATACTTTTTCATGAAAATAATAAACATAAGGTAAAAATTCTTTGAAGCTATCTATATTAAAAAATCGAAACTTAAAATTAATTATGAATACTGCACAAATGTTTTAAAATGTTTACAGTAAATAGTTTAAAGTATGTAATATTTAACTAATAGTTTTAAATCGTTTTTTCTTTTTTATAAATATTTAGACATTACAATAACTTAGTTACTTCCCTTGACGTATGGACGTGTGCCCACATAAAATTTAAAATTGTACAGTACACAGCCTTAGCGTTTTTCATTTCATACATAAAAATGTAATTTTCAGATGAACACAAAAATTTTGTCTTAGAAAATGATGAATACAACATCTTTTTCTTAGCAAAATCAAGACCATGATGACGACATTGTGCTAAGTAATCGGAATAAAATGAATTTCTTTCTTCCTTTAATAAGGATACTAAGAAACTTGTCCGTAATTACGAGAGTATCCTATTAAAAGTAAATAGACAAAACTTGTCTAAATTATTTAATGAGGCATGTCTTAATGAAACATGCTGGCAAAATATACGGTATATATATATATATATATATATATATATATATATATATATATATATATATATATATATATAAAGAAATATATGAAGTGAGGAAGTGAGATACGTATTAGCACATATATTGCTAGCCCTTCGTATCAGCGGGTTTCATATTCTATGACTCAAATTTTATCCTTTATTAAGTCACGTAAATTTTATTAAAACCCAATAATTATTTAATTTAAGAACAGCTTTTCAAACTATCACTTTTCACAAATATTTCCAATTCTATAGAGAATGAATTAAATAATGTTTATATCAAAATTTTATATCAGAATTTTCTCCAAGTATTATTCTTTCTAATGGCGTAAAGAATTTGACGATAAAATTTACTTTTATACAATTTTATTTTGAATCAGATGTCGATTTCGAACTGAAAATATTTTGATTACTTATATAACGACTGCTATCTAAATTTCATTTGCCCCGTGTTTCGTATTATAAATATGTTTTAAAATATATGGGATGATGTACGAAGACAAATACTGGGTTACATTTACTCGATGCAAATAGTGGGTTCCATTTTATGTCAAGGATTTCTGCATCCGTGGAATTTAGCTCCGGACAACCACAGCCCGCAATCTAAGGAGAACTGTATTACACCTATGTACACACACGCATATACGTATAGGTTTTACATACATGTTTGCATGTACATTCCTAGACACATAACGATTACCAGCAAGGAATCTTCGAAAGAGAATTTGGATCTTGACTGAAACCTTAAGTGATGCAATATATGCCCGCGGAAAACCGGCGAACATATCGATCAAAACATATTATTTATAGAAAAAAAGATGAGGATATTAATTTGAATAATTCTGAGAAGAACGCGAATCATTTTGAAGCCACTAGGAAGACCGGCGAACATATCGATCAAAATATTGTATTTAAATGAGGATATGAATATATTTGTATTATTTCGAACTATTGTCCTCATTTTGTTTGACATAGATGTTACTATAGACACAAGGTTTCGACCAAGTACTCTCTGGTCATCATAATTGACGTCATTCCAGCACAGAGCAGAGAACAAATTGAACCTCAGTGATGTCTGTCCCGTACGTGGACCACTAGGCTACAGCTGCACGTAGCGATTGCCGCGTTGAACGTGATGTTCGTTGTCGGTGTGATTTATTAGTCTGTCCGTCAGAAGGAATCGAAAGGTGTTTCAGCGATAAGAGATGTCAACAGAGGAAGGAAAAAGTATGCGTGATGAAGCTGGAGATTCGTATAACAAACGATAAGATCTGACATTTGAGAAGAGTAAAAAAAGAGAGTAGAACTGAGAGAAAGAACGGGAGAGAGAGAGAGAGAGGGAGAGAGAGAGGGGGAGAGAGTCGAAAAAAGGACTGGAAGAGAAACGAAAACACTGTAAAACAAAAAGAAAGGTAGAAAGAGAAATAAAAGGTTCAAAGAAAAGAAAGAGAAGGAAACAGGGATCAAGAGAAAAAGAGAGAAATATAAAGAGAAAGAGAAGAGGAAAATAGAAAAAAGTGAAGAAAAAACAGGCATAAAGAGAAAAGGTATAATGAGAAAGAGAAAAGAAAGAGAAAAAAGAGATGAAGAAAGACAGAGAAAAATCAAAATAGCAAGAGTAGTAAAAGAAGCAAAGAGAAAAAAACGAAACGAAGAAAAAGTAGAGATAGAGAGACAAATAAAAAGAGAAAGAAAAATAGAAAGAGAAGAACAGAAGAGACAAAAAAAGAGAAGGTAAGAAAAACTGAGATAGAGAGAAAATAATAAGTGTTTTTAGAGACACGAGAAGGAGAGAAAAAAAGAGAAGATTGAGGTAGAGCAAAAAAGAGAAAAACAAGACAAAAAGTGACAAGTATATAAAAAAAGAGAGAATGAGAGCCAAAAAGAGAGAAAGAGGAAAATTAAAAGGCTTTGAGAAACATAGAGAGAGATGATGTTGACGTTGATAATTATGATAGTGGTGATAAGTAAAACCCAAAATGAAATAGAAGGAAAGAAATTTTAAAAAAATGAAAGGAGCATAAAACGAAAAAGAAAACGAGGAAGACAAAAAAAGGGAGAGAAAGTTTCATAGAAAAGGAAGCGAGAAAAAGAGAAAAAATAATAGGAAAAGAGAAAGAAAGAGCTGAGTAGTGAAAGGTTTGACAGAAAACGAAACAGTTAAAGAAACCTGGAGAAACTTTAGCTAAAGTCTCAAATTTCAAACAGGCTATTCAAAACTGGCGGCAAATTATAATCTACATACTCATCGTTTCAACTTCTGACTTATGATACGCATGCGCAAATTCACACATCCAGATATATTTTCCTTCGGGGTTTTCTAAGCTTAGTATAGCCTGGCATAATATAAACCTAAAGAATCATTATTTATTTATTCATCAAAGTAATTTATTTTGCATTTTACGACATTATGCCGCCTTTTCAGCAAACTGTGTATTCCATCATGAAAGAAGGTTTCCTGTTTGTTCGATATCTTGTATTTTCAAAGCCCTAACAAGACAAGTGAATTTGACAGCACGTTTAAAGGAATTTCCATCTAAGTTTGTGATTCTATTTTTTATGTCGCATTTGCTACAGGTTTTATTTCGATTATTTAACACAAATAATGTTTAAGTTAATAAATTCTATTTTAGACTGACGATGGAGGAAAGGAATTTTTATTGTTACTGCCTGGGCAATTAAGGTAGTTAGGGCGAACTGGTTAGGGTGATGTTATTACGCATCTAATCTTTTTCGAACATCGTCGTGTACCAGTGACGAGAGTATCTGACAATGGGGTACGGTGTAAGGCAAAAGTGAATTCATTTCGTTTCTTAAACACATAAATGCAATGTGAACATAAACAGTCTAGGCAGAAATCCGAATTCAATACTTTGATTTCGTTTTTCGTTCTAATAACTCTTAACCCACCACTTGTCTCTTATGAATTTGTGTTTGTGTGTGTGTTAACCGTACATATACAGACATACACAAGAATATATTACTAAGCGTGTACATAATCATACGCACACACATATACATATATAAGGAGCGTGCAAAAGTAGGCACTGTTCTCTTCTTTCTGAAAACTAGTACATCATAGATGCAAACCGCTGTTACCTTCCATCCTATATAGTCCTGGGGTTATCTCATCCGAAACAGATGAACTTTGCCTCTAATTCCACACTGGACGACAAGGGCCATCCCCTACTTGACTCCCTCTCTCACCCAACACGAATTTTGTGATATATCTGTCTCGGCTCGGGAAGTTTCCAGACTTATCAAAAGCCTTGTCTCCACGAAGGCTACTGGTTCAAGTAATATTACTGCAGTTGTTCTTAAGAATCTTAACCCAGAACTATCTCCAATCTTGGCAAAATTTTTTAACCGCTTCCTGAAGGAGAAATGGGCCCCACGATTATGGAAAGTGTTAGCTGTATGCCTAGTTTACAAGAGTGTGGGTGAGCGCCCATCTCCTTCGCAACATTGCCCCATCAGACTCCTCAGTGTTATGAGCAAACTTTTTTAGGCTATCATCAAGAACGATGTCAGTCACCTTAACGGTAATAATCTTCTGAGTATCAACAATGCAGATTTCGCTCTTCTAGGTCCACTACGAGATGTCTTAACAGTCATTACTCATAGAAACACTTGATGATAAATACACCATAAGAGAAATCGCCTTAGATAACACGAAGGCTTTTGACAAGGTGTACTATAGGGGGCTGCTACACAAACCCCTGGGCATCTCGATCATCAGATCTATCCTCTCAGGGAGGTCTATGGGAGTTGTTTTTAATGACCAAACTAATAATACTATGGAGGTTGTTGTTAATGGCCATGCATAATACAGTGATAGAGATATCAGATACCTATATCACTGTATGCATCCCCCAAGACTCTCTCCTCAGTCATACCCTTTTCCTGCTATGTAATAAGGACCTGCCTAAGAATTTTCTAAGTTCACATTCACAGATCGCAGAAGAAAGCACGGTTTATGTGAATACCCCCAATAATCTAGATGGCCAGAACCTGGCAGATGATCTCTCCCTTGACCTTGCTCGCACAACACAGAAGGACGAGTAACATACAATAACTACAAAAAAATGGCAGTAAAGTTTCATCATCACAGAGCAGATCCTGAGTATTTTTTTCCAGTCATGATGAAAGTTTTTACTTTCAATGTTGCCCCTTGCCTATCGGGACACAAGCTCGCACCAAACCTTAAGTGGAACTCGTATATACGACAAATTGCTAAAGACGCTGGAAAACAGGACGCCCTCTCCCATATAAGTCACCTAACCTCAGGCCACGTACTATCTCAAGAAGAGCTAGACCAGACCAAAAATTAACCATTGCCGCTACATCTGAGTCGGATCAGCTTAATCCTCACTTTCCAGTCTCGACCAAGTTCAAAAGCATTTGAGCGGGTGCCGAATTTTTTTCAACTCTTCTTTTCCACATACATTGCCAGTCTCTCGTTACTCTACCGTTATTTTCATGGCAGATGTCCGGGTGAACTGCATTCCATGATTCCACCAGTCTAAGACGTACACTGTGTCGACTCATCGTCATTCCCTTCATATAACATTGGTAAGGAGTAAACTCCACTCAGACAGCATTTTTCCCAGAACTGTTGTAATATGAAACGGACTCCTGAGGAGATGCTTCTCTTATCACTACAATCTTCACCTCTTCAAGTATCGTTTCAACCGGTATCTATCCTATATATCCTCATAATAAGCAACCATTGCTTCCTCCCTATAAGCAATTACAGCATTCCCATTCAGGAAGATAGCAAGAAAATTATTTCATTTTTCTTTTACGGCGGAGTGTTAAAAGGATTAATTAGATACAAAGACTAGTGAAATATTGGTTGAATAAAAGCACGTTTTCACAAAACTGAATTTTTCGTACGCGAACAATCGGCGTATTTTTTTCTGATGAACACAAAAAACAATGATTTTGAGAATTCATCTCGAGCCTCATTGGGTTGTCTCATGATCGAACCGTATTTTACGCAGACCCGCAGTAAATTCGTTCACACACCTAATATAATGATACATATAATTTTTAAGTAATCCACAATTACTGTCATTCACACACATACACATACACACATACACACACACACACACACACATATATATATATATTCAATAAATCTAAACGCTCATCATCATTAGCAGGAGTTCTGCTAGGTTGAAAAATACGTAAAATTATCTTAATGCTCGTAAGACAAGTCGGGGAATAGCACAGTCACGGTTGTCATGGAAGGACTTGGGAACGGCTTTTTTTCTGTAGTGAACACGCGCAATACATTGCTGATATCCCCTGACGTGTGTAATGGGTGATTGCTGGAGGGGCCATCTACGAAACTCTAGAGTCGGGATGCTGAAAGTAACAGCAGTCAGCTAAGTGACAAATTTTATATTTGTATTAATTATATATATATATATATATATATATATATATATAGTAAAGGTAAAACAAATCCGTGAGTATATAATCTGAGTGGATCCTAGTAATATAAAAATATTAAAACTGATCCACAAAAGAGAGCTCGATGTATTATATTTATACAGAGAAATATGGATGAATAATCAAAAAATCTTTTTACCTCATAGTCATTCATATATATATATATATATATATATATATATATATGAATGACTATGAGGTAAAAAAATTTTTATATATATATATATATATATATATATATATATATATATATATATGTCATTTATTTTAAGATATTAAAACATGTTAAAAATCGCTAGATAATTACAATTATGATTCGACACCATAAATGTGTCTCTTCAGGCGATGCTAAACCACTGGCGAAGGGAAGATTAATTACTTTCAAAAAGCAGAATACTTTAAAAATAGACTTGTGAGCTTTGACGTGATTAACCAATCGAATGTGACCTACGCTAAATTCAAATTCATCGGAAAAAAATTTAATATGGGTCATGATTTGAAGTTGTCTGCATATAAAGCCTAGACGATTTCCTTATATACGATACAGATTGTTACATTATTTCGTAAGAGGTATCGAAGTCTGACGCTCAACCTTCCCAAGAAGCAACTTAATTGTTCGGGAAAAAAACGGATCAAAAATACAGAACTAATTTGGCAAATTAATATGCAAACGTTAAATAAAGAGCATCCATATAAGATGTTAATAATACTAACCAAACATTAATATAAAGTAATATTAAATCAAAATTAATTATACAAATAAAATAGTAAGCCATATAAGATTCACAACAGATATATATATATATATATATATTAGATATATGTATAGATAGTGAACACACAGTCAAAAATTACATAAACATTTATTACAAAAACCAAATGCACATTGACTACGAACAAGACGATTCTTCAACAAGACATATTATAAAGAAATACACTACCCCAATTGACCCGAATAAAAAAAAAACAAATTAATTATCTATTATAAAAAAATTAAGACAGCCAACCTCATCCTCAAAAATAACAACACACCAACTAAGTCAAAATTACAAAGAACGAACATTATCTATGAGTTCAAATGCTCGTTAAGGAACTGTGTTCCTGATCAAACCGGACTCATAGATAATTGCATCGGTTACACATGCTTACTACATGCTTATCCAGACGAGTTACGTTACACCTATCTGATCATAAATCCATTAGAACCCATTTAAACACACACACAAATTTACCAGACTCCATAGAAACATACTAGTAGAAAACACAAATATAATAACTTCATCCACCTGTAAAAAAAAGATTTAGAATAATTAAATAATAATAAAAGAAAAAGCAAACTCTTAACAATATTAACTACGAACAAGGCCACAATGTGCTAGCCGTATTCTGAAATTAAAAACATCTCTATAACACACTAAAACATACACATATTGCACAAACTCAATTAAGCTGAAAAATTGAATCATCCTTGATAATGACTAAAGGTATAGCCGAAAGCACTCTGAACTATAAAACATTCGGACAGTTTTTACACAAGAAAGAAAAGAAAAGCTCTTGTTCGAACACAAGAAAATTAAATAAAAAGCTTAACCGTAGTACCTTGTCTGTCGTTTTTAATGAAACATGCGTAAATGAAGGATTGCTGCCTAAATATACAACTATATATATATATATATATATATATATATATATATATATATATATACATATGGACAGACAATCTGGTAATGACAGGTGTGATAGCCAGAGGGAATGCGATGGCTGTAAAAGAGTCTTCAAGTCGGTGAAGGGTCGCAAGACACACCAGACAAAGATACACCAGACAAAGATGAAATATGGCAGGGATTCAGTGGCAAAGAATCGCACAGCAGTAGTCGATAAGTCGTCGGAGTGTCGGGACCAGGAAGAACACCACAGTGTCCTGCAGGATCCTTTTTTTCAAAGCTGCATCTAGTCGCCGAATTATCAAGTGGCCTTCCTCTGTGGATAGAGCCTGGTCAAAGATGGATGAAGACTTATCAGCAGCCATCCAGACACTCATCGGTGGTCCAGGAAGGAAAGTCCGCCAGCTTGGGGAGATGATCAGTGACTATGGGGTCACCAGGTTTGGGTTAAAGGAAGTGAAATCTAAGTCCTTAGCTCCAGTGCAGGTAACCATCCAGTCATTGAGGAAAGAGGCGCGAAGTTTACGAGCAGCAATGCGGGCTGATGAGCAGAGGGCAGAGGAAATAAGGCCAATCCTAGAGGACATAAGGAAGCGTATTAGCAAGCTAAGTAGAGCAGAACGGCTTACTAAAAAGAGACAGAAGGCTGCCAAGGCCCGGAAGTCATTCATGGAAAGTCCGTTCCGCTTCACGAAACAGTTGTTTAGGGAGAAGACTAGCGGAGCGTTGTGTGTTAAGCGGGAGGAGCTGGAGAGACATCACATGAGCACGTACTCGGATGTCAGCAGAGAGGTCACAGTCGAGGTGATGCCAGGTTTATTCAGGCCTGGCGCCCTCGGAAGTAGCTTTTGATGAGTCTCCAGTGACTTGGAAGGAGGTCCAAGGAGTTGTACAGAGAGCAAGAGCGTGTTCTGCGGGTGGTCCTAATGGGGTGACATATGCTGTCTACAAGAGGTGTCCCAGGCTGCTGAGGTGTTTGTGGAGGCTTCTTGTGAAGATTTGGGAAGTTGGTGATGTTCCGGACTGTTGGTGTCGAGCTGATGAGGTGTATATACCGAAGGAGGAGAATTCGGTGACATTTAGTAGGTTTCACCCAATATCTCTCCTGAACGTTGAAGGGGAGTTGTTTTTTAAGGTTTTTGCCAGGAAGCTGACGGGGTACCTGCTTGGGAATAACTATATAGACACTAGTATTCAAAAGGCAGGAGTCACGCGGTTTCAAGGTTTCTTGGAACATGTGTCAATGATTTGGGCAAAGATCCGTGAAGCTAAAATCGAAAGGAAGAATATTCACGTCATCTGGCTAGATCTTGCTAATGCCTATGGTTCAGTACCACATAGCATGAGACAGTTGGAATTGGAGTTCTACGTTCCGCAGAGACTCAGGGATTGTCTGGCTGTGTACTTCAATCAGTTCGTACTGCGTTTTTCGACGATGAAGTACACTACAAGGCATGTGGAGCTGCAAAGGGGAATTGCGATGGGATGTGGCATCCCTCCAGTACTGTTTGTGATGGTGATGAAGATGATCTTGAGAGGTCTGACGCCAGAGTACCGCTTCCTGCAGAATGAGGTCAAAATCCGAGCATTTATGGATGATTTGACGATAATTCGAGATGATAGGAAAGTAGCACAGTTGGTTCTGGATAAACTTGCAGAGTTGGTAGAATGGAGTCAGATGGCCTTCAAACCGAAGAAAAGCAGGTCACTGTCTATGAAGGGAGGTTCTGTCATACATGAAATGTTTTCCATCGCAGGTGAAAAGATTCCAACAGTGCGGGAGCAAGGTGTGAAGAGTCTTGGGAGGTGGCATAACGTCCCTGTGACAGATCGTCACCGTGGGATTGAAATCCAGCAACAAGCGGAGGTGGGCCTGCGAAGAATAGACTAATGTGGGCTTCCCGGAAAATTTAAGGTGTGGTGTATGCATTTTGGATTGATGCCTAGATTAATGTGGCCGCTGATTATATATGAGGTGGCACTGTCTAGGGTGGAGATTATTGAAAGGAAAATTAGTAAATGCATACGAAAGTGGCTTGGTTTTGCAAGGATTCTGTCGCCGGTCGCTTTGTATGGCAGTTCGTGGGGGGGGGATCTTCAGTTACCTCTTACTTCTTTGGTGGAGGAGTCCAAGGTGGCTAAGGTGAGATTGCAGTCCATGCTGTGTGAGTCTAGGGATGCTGTAATCCGGAGATGAATGTGCCAAAGGTGAAGACAAGAAGAAAGTGGAAAGTGGCAGACGTGATGTCAGCAGTGGAAGTGATGGTAAAGCAGGTAGAAGTTCAAGGTGTTACAAAGAAGGGACGTGCTGAAATTGGTCTAGTTGAGAGGGAGAGATTCTGTTCAGAGGCCAGTAGACAGGAGCAACGCAAGTTACAGGAATAGGGGGTTGGAAAGCTCGAAGAGGAGAGACGTTTAGTGCGGACTGTCCAGCAGGCTCAGCAGGGTCGATGGCTTAACTGGGAGGGTATTGAGGGTGTTCAGATCAGTTGGTCTGATTGGTGGCGTCTAGGCGCAGGACAGTTGAGGTTCCTCAGACAGGCAGCATATGATGTGGCAGCATCACCGGCAAATTTGAAGAGATTGGGAGTGCAGGAGTCACCCTCCTGCCGGTTGTGTGGTGTTTATGGAAACCTGCGCCACATACTGTCAGCCTGTCCAAAGGCGCTACAGAATGGCTGGTACACCTTCAGACATAATTTGGTTCTGGAGGTCGTGGCAGCAGCTGCAAGAAATGCTAGCATACCCTCGTTGGACCTGCGAAGGGTAGCCTTCCTGAAGGTGCGACTGTCACAAGTCAGAAGACCAGGTCGGAAAACACAAGGAAGTGTAGAGTGTTGGTTGATGCTACCCTGCCAGTGGAGGTCATTGTGTCTGGTCTGAGACCAGATCTGGTTTTAGCTGATAGTGAGAAGCAGCATCTGTTGCTTGGCGAACTGACAGTAGCATGGGAAGAAGGAATTGAAGAGGCGCATGAAAGAAAGTTGCTTCGATATGAGGAATTGGTGGCCGTGAGAGAGGATATGGCTGCACCTTGGTGCCATTTGAGGTTGGCTGTAGAGGTTTTCCTGCTGCCTCTCTAAAGAGATTCCTCAAGTGTGCTGGGATCCAAAAGCCGGATAAGGTGATAAAGGCTTGTGATGAAAAAACGATGGAAGGAAGTGTATGGATTACCCAAAAATTCTTATCGAGTCGCATCCAATTAACATAGACCGGTTGCAACGTTACATCATCCAGCTGTTGCGGGCCCACCGTGTGGAGAGGTGCTGAGCTTAATGGGCCGAAACCTTGATGAAGCACGGCGCTCAGCTGAAGATTGTACTTGTGTTCTATATATATATATATATACTTTGTTTAAAAATACATGCTGAAACATGCGTATTAACGTTTAAAATAATGCGAAATATTGCTGGATTATAAATAAAATCCATCAACTCCTTATAAAATACTTTCTTTACGTTTCGGATACGAAAATAAAGGTAGCAGATATGAACTTCGATCCGAACAACAGATGTACATTTTTAAATAGGGTAATTGACTTTTGTTTGACAAAAGTGGTTGAGTGGTCTAAAAGTATACTCTACGAGGTTCGAACCCTGGTGGATGGCCCTTACTCATTATTAAAACTGTCGAATATACAGCCAGGTAGACGTAAATTTATTGTTTAAAAACAGAGATATCTACATATGTATCCACTAATATAACGTTTAAAGTAATAATAGCTAGATAGATAGATAGATAGATAGATAGATAGATAGATAGATAGATAGATAGATAGAGAGGGGGGAGAGACAGACAGACAGACAGAAAGATAGAGAGTGAGTGAGAGAATTTTCTAATCTAAGTTTAGCACATATCAAATATTTGGCGTATCAAGTGGAAGTTGAAAACAATAGTAATGATTTGCGAGATGCGTATGCTCCACCACACAAAGAAAGAGTTTTCCATACGAATTATACACTTGAAGAAGACCGTAGAATAAATCGGCTGATGCGTTGTGGTGACAACAACAAAAACTAAAAGGAGATCATATGTCCGAACAAAGCTTGAGATGTTAACATTTGCTCAAACTTCAGGACAATAAGAGTGATATAAGTAGAGAAGAATTCACTCTCCAAATTCCTGCCGAATTCCCGCCGCACTCCTAACAAAGTCTAGACATTCTTGAACATGTTCGCAGCTTGAAGGCCCAACCAAATCGCTCTATATCAGTTATCAGCGCGTAAGTGTAAATAACGGACAATTCTTTGACACTGCTTTTTAGGCTCAACAAATTTATCACTTTTCTTCTTCATTCGTTCGCACAGTCCCACTTCCTTCCATTTTAAATGGCGATTCTCTTTCACTCAAGGCGTGGACAAATTCTTTTTTCTCCTCTGCTAAATTAGACAAAAGGAATCTTGCCGCTCTTTTTATATATCTATGTTAGTAGAGTTTGCGGTTACGATTCTCTTATCATAACTTCGTGGAGAAAAGGGGTGCATTATATTCGGAGGCCAATTGAAAAGTTCTGTTGTTAGGATATAAATACCCCTTGCAAGATTACAAGGAAGTAACATCGCGCTGTGTATGTTGGCTGAGTCGGGGAGCTCAATAGCTATTTTATTGAAAAGATTAACTTTTTTTTATTACGGTTTTTGTATGACTGATGAAGCTAAGCAGCATCGAACTTGATTCGTATTTAGACTGGTATACATATAGGCACATCAAGTATTGTAAGAAACTTGTGCCTAAGAAGGGAAAAGCATAATAAATAGATTACTGTTCCAAAAATGCAATGTATTTTTCCTATTATACTAAAAGAGGTGGCAAAGTTTAACATTCATATCCACAAAAAATAGTATGTCAAAAGGATACTTTTTCTCTTGATGCAGTTATTGATGTAAACACACGGCAATTTTTATTGTTTTAAAAGCCTATTTTAGAATTTTGATAAAACACAAACATAAAACTGGATTTATTCATTTTCTATTTTTTTTGATTTTATTTAAGAATTAAGCACTATTCATTTTATTATATTATTTTTTTTTTTACAAGAATCCTTTTATATTTCAGTCAGTTATGTGCCATGCACGATACACGCTTAGGCGATCATGTATCTTGCGATAAATGACTGACGAGGCAAATTTTTTCCCGCAGTAGGTTGCCATTTCTTTCTGCGGTAGACCAGTTGCCATCCAAGGCTATAGAACCCGGTCTGTCCTGCTATTTACCCATAGCTGGGGTGAGAAGAAGAGGATTCATACCTTTTCCAAGGATATTAGCACGTAAGTGAATGTAATGGATCTGAGTGGAGTTCGAACTCGGCTCTCCTCATCCGAGCCGCTATCCATTACTCCAACGTGTACAAGTTTATTAAATTATGTGAACCAGCTACAATACAATATTTATCATTAACAATATTCATTTTTTTTATTCATAAATATATAAAAAACATTATTGAACATGAGAACAAGAAAATTTAAATAAACACACAATTACAAGTAACTGTATTTATAACTTAAAAAAAAAAATGCATTTTCTCGTCATTTCTTTCATTTGCTCTCGTTACATAAATTCACTAAAATATTTTGCGAGCATTTGGATTTATACTTTTTTCTCTCCAGAAGTGACAACAAAAAATGTTAAACGCTATTTATTTATTAGACTGTTTAATTACAAGAATAGTTTTTAATGCCAAAGGAGTATAAGGCAATCGAGTTGTCAAGGGAAAAACGTCTTTTTGATATATGTTTTTTTTTTTCCTGGCGCGTACGAATGTTAAACTTTACCAAAGATTTTCCTCTCTTGACAAATAAAAGATGACGGTGACTCCGAAAAATATTATTGTTATTTATTACAAGATTTACTAAATTTTATTTTTGTAGCATTTTATCACCGCACTCATTGCTGATCCACTCATCGACCGCTAGAGAAAATAATCACAAAAAATCTGAAACAAAGAAACAGTTTTTGACTTTAATTTTAGTGAATACTAGTATTTGATTAGCGCCTCTGTCTATTTATTAAACAGTATATTTATTTTTATGCCGGCCCGAATATTCAAATCTTATTAAAGAAAAATTTGGGTTCACTGGCAGGAATCGAACCTGCGTCCTATCATCCCATATATATATATATATATATATATATATATATATATATATATATATATATATATATATATATATATATATATATATATATATATATATATATATATATATATATATATATATATATATATATATATATATATATATATATAGTTCATCCAAGCAAGTTTATAATGCCAATAAGATGCAAGGGTTACTGGGAATAAAAGAAAATTAAGAGACGTTAGAGGTAACTGAAAGTCCAATCCTAAACAGAAAACAAAGGATAAACCCCTACTTTTGTTGAAAAGATTGCGGAGAAGTGTGAACCGGATGATAGTCGAACCTCTCAACTCCTATTATATATATATATATATATATATGTGTGCGTGCATGTGTGTATATATATATATATATATATATATATGTATGTATGTGTGTGTGTGTGTGTGTGTGTGTGTGTCTGTGGTCCCATTGTCTACATATTCAGATGTAGCAAACAAGTCTTTATTAAGAAGGGTGTTTATAAGGAGGTCCTGAACAAATTCTCGATTCTTCCAAAAAGCAATTCAAAAACAAAATTTTGATGTTTGGTCATTTGGTCAGATTTTGTGAAGTTCATCAGGCCGATAAGTTTTCTGCGCCCCTTCGTAGAAAACTGTTGTTGCTTCTTACTTTTCGCTCCAGATTTTCATCCATCATCACACACATACACACACATACACACACATATATATATATATATATATATATATATATATATATATATATATATATATATATATATATATATATATTTAATGCACGTGACCACATGTGTATAGCTTTAAAGGTTTTCACATTGCGCGTTTTTTGCCAGTCGTCTTAAATCGACGTACACAAACAACGACTTTGGTGTAAATAAACAATGCCAACCATTTTTCTTAAAGTGGAACTTCTTTTTCGCCCCATCTCTTGATATGACATTTTTGGCAGAGTTGGAATTTTTGTGAAAAGGTCACTTGTTAACGACATAATCTCACCTTTATTTTTCAATTTTTTGATTAACGATAACATTTATCTCCCCACCTTTTTTATCTCTACTCTCTCCAATATTTTTCTCCGTCCCTCCTCCTCTAATATTTTTCTCCGTCTCTCTCCTCCTCCTCTCTCTCTCTCTCTCTTTTCCTGGCATGCTTCGTCTTCTGACCTTTCTTTCTCTCAGTCAATCCTCTTTTTTGACACTACATCTCTCTATTTTTCTCTTGCCTCTCTTTTTCTCTTCCCTCTATTTTTCTCTTCCCTCTCTTTTTCTCGTTTTCCTTTCATTTTCTCGCCTCCCCCCCACTCTATTTCCACTCTACTCTTTTCTTATTAATCTGCCTGACGTCTGTTCGATATTTTAAGTCGCTGATTTTGTTGCTTTCTCACATTGATTCTTTCAAAATGGCTTCTATTTTTGAACTTTCTTTCTCTTTCTGTTTATCTTTTACTCTTTCTCTTTCTGTTTATCTCTACTATTTCCTTTTTATCAATCTACTAACCTATCTACAGTGTAACCCGGATAGAAGAGACCCTGATATAAGAGAAACCCGGATATAAGAGACTTCTTCTCCGGTCCCGACAACTCTCTTACATCCGGGTTACACTGTATATCTTTCAAGTCGTTGAAGTTTCTTTTCGTTTATGACACTTCTTCTACTCTCTTTTTCTTTCTCTCACTCTTACGCTCTCTCTTTCCCCCCTTCTCGCTGGCTTTCTTATTTTCATTATCATTCGTTCTTTCTATCGAAATTAGATTTCCGAAGGAGTCAAAACATCTTACTTCCTTCACCGGTTGTGGATGATCAATTTCGGTTAAATGCAGGTGAAATTCCGAAATAATTAATCCACATATTAATTGGACAGCTCTCCTAACTTTCGTTGTGTTGATTATTACGCTTCGGTCGATGAATTCTCCGGCTACCTTAGCAAGTAGACCCTCGTCACCTGGCAGATATAATTCTTCTTCTTTTATATGCCGTGTCCCTTCAAGATGTAGGCGATCATGGCTCTCCACTTACCCCAATCTCTTGTAGTTCTCAACATGTTTTATCATTTTGCTACATCTCCCAAACCCTGTTCTGTCATCACTTGCTTAATCCCGCTAGGTATGTCACACATTACTTTCCCTTGTCTCTCTCTCTCTCTCTCCCTCCCTCTATCCGCCCTGTGAGTATCAAATTCTCCAAGCCCTCTTTTCTCATTACATGTCCCAGAAATTTCAGCTGCCTCTTCCTGATGTTAAGTATAAGCTTCGTCCTTGTTTGCATCCTCTCCAAAACCTCATCGTTGCTCACTTGTTCGGTCCATGTTATTCTTAGCATCCTTCTGTAGAACCATACCTCCGTTGTCTCGAGTTTTTTCTTCATCATTAGGGAGACCGTCCAACATTCGCTGCCATAAAGGAGGACAGATGTCATGTAGCAGCTCAGTACTCTTTTCTTTGTTACCAACGGAATCCTCCTGTCTTGTAATACTCTGCCTATCTTTTGGAATGCGTCTTTGGTCATCCTATTATTATTATTATTATTATTATTATTATTATTATTATTATTTCAATAGACAAAATAAAAGCATGATGTTAAAAATCGAAATTTTTAGTCACACCTTTGTCCTTTCTCAAGGAAAAATAAAATTAAGTGATCGATCGATCAATACATAAAGAGATAGCTAGATAGAAATAAATAATTACAGAAGTGAAATATAATTTGAATTAAATACCGACTGTCGTTGATTTTTTAATACAACACTCAATATCCTGAGGATAGAGCTACATATAGTATAAGATTCTGGTTATTTTATGGTATTGAAAACGTGACAAGCATACACGTCAAGACTATCGTCTGACGACCGCTATTAACGAAGAACAGACGCATAACGCGTGCTCGATTTCACCGTGAAATCCTTTAATACGTTTGTTTCTAAGACTATCTAAAAAAATTCTAATTCTACAATATATAGGGTGTATCCAAAATACTTTACAAACTTTGGGGGCGGGTTCCTCACACCGCACGAATGGTAATGGTCGCGAGGATGTACGGTTTTATCAGATTGTGTTTCCAGAAAGAAAGCAGGCGGGTCATCCAACCTTTGCTGCTGTTTATCGTCGCATTGCTGAGACAGAATCCATGGCACCAAAAACTGAGATCCGCTCGTACGCCTAACAACAAAGAACGCATTCTACAGGCTGTCGGAGACGATCCAGTTATTAGCACAAGTCAAATGGCCCTAGCATGCCGTAAAACATAGTAACGCATGGAGGGTTGGCCAAGGGCAGCTCCTGTATCCGTATCATTTGCAACGTGTGCAGGGTCTTTCCCCCTCTGATCACTCACCACGAAAGAACTTTTACCGATTGTTTATTGCACAAACTGCTGATCCGTTGATTGTATCTTCAGTCTTGTTTATGGATGAGGCAACATTTGGAAAACATAGAATAACAAATTTACACAACCAACATTTGTTGGGGATCGGATGGTACAATAGATGCTAGACACCAGCATCAGTTTACGCTGGAATTGTAGGTCTATATATTCCCCTAGCACGTCTTATAGGAGCTATCTACAGGGACTTTATTTCGAACACACTTCCTGCTAGATGATGTACCCCTGCTAATACGAAGACGCATGTGCTTCACGCATGATGGGGCTCCAGCACATTTTAGTCTCATTGTTCGCAATGCACTGACTGGCATCTACCGTGAAAGATGGATAGGTAGGGGAGAAGCGGTTCCATTGCCTGTACGTTTGTGGGCTACCTAAAACAATTGCATTTCATTCATTAGGACTTCATCGGATTATATTATTGTTATGGGACCTTACCCATAATAACATAATGGACTATTTCATACGTAATAAATACTGTGCCTCAAGAGGAAGCAGGGTTTGTCAGTCTGAAGTCTGGAGTGAGCTCCGTCAGGAGTCCGTCAGGAGTCCGTCAGGAGTCTGTCAGTCAGAGCGAGCAAGTCAGTCAGTCGAGTCAGAGGCAGTCCGAAACAGAGTCGCGTTCAGACAATTACTACTAAACCTGATTGTTCGTACTAACACTTTCTACCTCTCTGTATATATTCCTGTTTGTAATATATCTGTGTTATTCCATATCCGTGTTCAAGTTCTTTATTGGTTCTACCTTGGACTATCACAGTGGTACAAGAAACCGGACCATAACAATTATAATATATATAATTTTGTGTCAATACAATACACCATCGCATCTCATGACACTTATCAAAGAAACAACTAGAATAGTTGATAATCTGTTTCCTCGTGGTGCCTGTATTTAGTGTCCAAACCAAAGTAAAATGAAACGAATATTTCGACCATTTCAAGGCAGCCAGACTCTCACCTCTGACAAGAGGTTTGTAAGAAAAAAAAATGGCCGTCTCTCTGTCTTCTCGGCCCGTGTTAATGATTTGGTCTTGTAAGCCATTGATAACGAGTTTAGTCTTTTAAATATGGTACTGTACAAAACTTAATTTTAACTTCCAAAATATCTGTCTTTTCGTTTCAATTTTTCATAAATCTTTTCTTTATCCTTTCATCACATTCTTCAATTTATGAATCTATTAATAAATCTGTCAAGCAAGTGGAACATTCACCAGATAACGTCCGTCGGGCCTTAAGTGTGGTTTGTATCTTTTATTTACTGTAGTAATTGTCTACGAAACTAGCTGGGTATACATTACCCTTTCCTTGGATTTTTTCTCTGCTTTTCTCTTCATTCGATCTGCCTCACCCTCTCTCTTTCCTACTCACTCTCAAAATTTTTCTTCCACCATCCTTATACTTCTTTCCATCTTTTCTTACAGTAGCTATACTCTGTTTTTAACATTGTCTAATTCTTAATCTTATTTTTTTTTATTTTTCTTTCTCATTATTGTATCTCATACTTTCATTCTCTCTCTCTTATTTTTCTAATATATACAGGGTGTCCATAGAGTTTGTGTGCACTTTAAAAAATTTATAACTTTATTTGTATTTGCGATAGAAATAATCTGTAAAAAATGTTATAAAGTTTAATGTACCTAGTTTTAAGTATATCTAAAATAACTAATGTGATTTCAGGCATTACTGTAAATCAGTTGGCAAATGTTTTCTGTGAACTGCAAAATCGTATTACCATTTGTATTTGATGGAGGACATGTGGAAACTTAAATAAAATTTCAATAAACCTTAAAAAATATAGATTTCTTTCTTTCTAATCCTTTTTACAAATTATGTCTATGGCGAATACAAATAAAGTTATAAATTTTTTAAAGTGCATACGAACTTTATGGACACCCTGTATATGTATTGATGTGTGTGTAAATTAACAAATCCTTAGCCAATGATAAAAAGTATTATTTTCACACACCAAATATTTATTTTTTAACATGATCTGGTAAATTTTAATTCGATATGTATGTATGATAATTTGTGTGAGACAGGATTTTTCCTACAGTTGATGTTGGGGCTGAAAGCTTACGAAGTTACCTTCTCTCCTCCGTCCCGATTCAATGAAGCCGGGGTCGCCTGGAATTTCTTGCTTCAATGCTGAGGACGCTGCTAGAACCCTTGATAAGTGGTTTTGTAATAAAGTCATTTCAGTGCACTTTGAGAATAGCACAGAGGCAGTGCTTATATATATGTATGTGTGTGTGTGTGTGTGTGTGTGTGTGTGTGTGTGTGTGTGTGTGTGTGTGTGTGTGTGTGTGAAAAGTGTGTGTATATAAATATAAATAAATATATATATATATATAATTATTTATATATTATATGCGCGGTACTTATTAGAAAGCGCTCAATATCAGAGATAGAGCTAACATATTTGGTTGGATAGATGTGAATTTGTGACCCAGAGTTTGTCTGACGATCGCTAAAGCGTGAAACCCGGGGTCACAAACTCACATCTATCCAACCAAATCTATCTATCTGTCTATCTATCTATCTATCTATCTGGTGGAAGTCTACTCGTGACCGAGCATGACCACTTCTTAAACTCGTGCCGAATAACCTCTGATTTTCATCCTCTCGCTAGTGTCGTCTAAGATGATACTTAAGTTCTGGCACTGATTTACTATTGAGACCACATGAGGTATATGTTAGAAAAATATATGTAAAATGAGAACAAGTAGAGTATGATTCCACTGTACTTATTATTTAATTTAAAAGAGACCTGAATACATAGAAGAGCTAAATATTATTTATTTTAGGATATTAAAACATGTTGAAAATCGCAACAATTACAATTATGTTTCAACAACATGTAGTTTAACACAGACACATACACACACACACACACACATATATATATTTATATATATATATATATATATATATATATATATATATATATATTTATTTATTTATATATATATATATATGTGTGTGCGTGTGCGTGTGTGTGTGTGTGTGTGTGTGTGTGTGTGTGTGTGTGTGTGTGTGTGTGTGTGTGTACGTAAGTGCTTTAAGAGTTTATTTTTCTGGTTTCCGGGCTGAGTCTGAACATTGTTCAATGTCTTCTGAGCACTTTCGGTTTTTATATGCCATTATCAAAGAAATTTTGTGGATTAATAAAGTTGTGTCTATTGGTCTACGTTGTTTTTTTTTCTTCCCGCGTCAGTGGATGTCACGTTTTTCAAGTATCAGTTTGTTTTTTGCTTTTTTATTATGGCACATGGAAGGATATAAATTTTTAATTTCTTTTGTTGGTTTAACAGAATGATTTTGCATGCACAAAGAATATGCAAACATTTTTTTTTAAATTATGATAATCAAAATGCCTAAATGTCTCCAAATATATCAGCTTATCTCCATTTTCACTAGAGTTGGTACACTGAAAAGAGTACATATTTATATCCAATCGATTTTAATTTAGTTTCTTCAACAACAGCGCCATAATATAGTAAAATTTATATCGTAAGAAATAAAAAAAAAGTGCTGAGCTGCTATGTTATATCAGTCCTCTTATGTTGGCAGTGAATACCAGATAGTTTCTTCAAAGATGAAAAGAAGTCCGTTGATTGGTTGTTTTTGTTTAGCAGCATATCAACCTTTCTTGGTTGTTTTATTAATACCGAAATCTAAAAATGTTGTATGCAATTTTATTTTACTTCTGGAGGTAATAATGGTTTAGGGATACAACTCTTATTAATTAACCCATAGCTGGGAGGAGAAGAGGTGAAGTAATATCTTACCCTGGGATATTTCCGCGTAAGTGAATATAACGAACCGAACGGGAATTGGAGCTCGGCTCTCCGATTACCAATTCCGAGCGATTATCCATTACACCACACACACAGTCAAGCTTACAGCACCTGGTATTCCCAAGCGGTCACCCATCTAGATATTGACCAGGCTCAGTATTGCTTAACATCGGTGATCTTACGGGAACCGAGGTTTCAACGTGATGTGCTGTAAGCCACAGATAAAGACAAAATTTGAAACAACAACGACATGGTTCTATAGATGGATGCTGAGAATTCCATAAACGGATTATATAAAACGGTGAGATTTTAAGGAAAATGAAACAAAAAGGACAATTATAAAATCAGAAAGAGATAGTTGAAATTTATGCGACATATAATGAGAAAAGAAGGCTTAAAAATTGACACTCACAGGACATATTGAAGGCAAGAGAGAAACAATGGATAATTTATTTAATGAGCTTGTGTAAATGGATGACAGAACAAGTGTTGCATACCCCCCACCTAGTTGATGTTGTCGTTTCCATAACGTTGTATCTTCTCTCGCTCGTCTTCTTCCGGTCGTTGTTTTTTTTTTTTCTTTCTTTTTTTTTTTTTAAGTTCGGCAATAAATAAGAACTTTAACAAAAGGGATTTTAAACTTATCTATTTTATTAAACACGTCGTCGTGTACATTTTTAACTAACTGGGATGTCTGTCGTTAAACTGTCTTCCTACACCCTTTTCTCCCCTCATCTAACTTTGTTCCGTATTTAGCTGTGCTTCATAAATATCTGTGTTATAATTATACTGTGGAGGTTGGCGTAGAATGTTGGTTTTTACATTCAAAATGAATGAACACTGAGCGGATGTTGTTTTGGAAGGTTCTTTTTTATGAATACAAATTATATTCTTATTGTGCCTACAGAGTTCGTAGCTCGCGGTATGTTGTAACAGAAAGAGAGAGTGAGAGATCGAGAACCCTCTTTCTTTGTAGCAAGCAGTTGTGCTGATTAGTTCTTTGGTGGTTAGATGTGGACCAACCTGTCCCGTTTCTCTCTCAAAAGGGTAGAAAGAACAGATTTTGTAACCCTCTTTTCCTTGGTTTATATTGAAGTCGATAAGTTGCCGTGGAGTGCGGGTAGGATTGTTCTTTACTTTGGTACAGGTTATTTGATCTTTTGTTTCGCTTATCTAAATATCTATTTTCAGAAACTGTAGTTATCTGATTGACTTGTACTTAAGAATGCAGGTGTTAATGTTAATGAGGTGTTAAGGAGATGATAAGTGCGTTATACTTCTCAGGTGTTTCAAGAAATATTTTAATTTTTTTAATTAAACTTAACCTACTACTACAGTGCAGAAGATGATGGACAGAAGATAAATATTCCTCGAGTGAAGTTTTCTCCGTGAGACTGATTAATTAGTCCACTGTTTAGAATTACACCTTCAATATACTAATTTAAATAGTTTCACAAGTTTGGGAACTATTTTTCTTTTCGCACGCTTTTTTATATATTTGCATATAACCATAAGACAATATGACTTTCAAAATTTCACCGTGTCCATATAGTTAAAACGATGACAGCCTATGAAAGCAATACAGATAAATTAGTATTTTTGACAGAGGTAAATCGAGAAAAACTAGTATTATTTGTGTAAACACAAATAATACTATTAGTAAATCGAGAAAAACTAGTATTATTTGTGTAAACACAAATAATACTAGTTTTTCCCGATTTACCTCTGTCAAAAATACTAATTTCTCTGTATTGCTTTCGTAGGTTGTCATCGTTTTAACTATATGAACATATATACTATGTTTGGTCTTCTCATTCTTTTGTGAGTTTAGCTTGACAGTTAGCTTCATGTGTTACTGAAGAAAAAAAAAGTTACGATAATGTCAGTACGAAGAATTCCCGTCTTAACAGAAAAGTACAGCCCCAACTTCAAAGGACATTAACAGTTTTAATTATTGAAATAACCAGAATAGATAATCATAAGGAACTCAGCTATATATTCGTTTGTAACATCATGTCTCAATAGACTCCGTATTATAGTCTTGTACTACTGGAGGTTCTGAATATTTTAAGTTCTAAATATTTTTAATGAAATAAAATATTATTTTCCCAGAAATTAAAATGCGTACTTCTTGAGTCTCTGTATTAAATCGATTTTTTGATGAGACCAAAAATGAACACGTCACAGCTGATGTCACATCCAGCATCCGCAATAAACTGGTAGTGGGGCTGATATAAAAATACCATATATTTTTATTACAGTCTTCTAGTTGCACATTTTCAGCTACAATTTCACATCCAAGCTCGAGCTATGAGTCTTTATTGTATAGGCAATAGCATTAGATGTCATATGAATTAAACCAGAAAAATTAGTAGGACATAATTTTTTTTTGTTCAAGTCGTGCATTAAAAGAAAACAAACGTACATCCACATCGAAATCTATCTATCTATCTATCTATCTATCTATCTATCTATCTATCTATCAATTTTGGATAATTTAATGATAATTTGGAAAAAGTCCTGTTCCCGGGTTTAGCCCCCCCCCGAAAGGACTTCTGATTATTTAGTTTTTTTTTATAGATGGAATCATATGTATGTAGTGGGAGAGAACAAAGTAACAAACGTTATCATTATACATCGAGAGAAATGCTGAGGGTTCAGGAATGCTTAACTTTAATCTATCTATCTATCTATCTATCTATCTATCTATCTATCTAGTGGAAGTCTACTCGTGACCGAGCATGACCACTTCTTAAACTCGTGCCGAATAAACTCTGATTTTCATGCTCTCGCTAGTGTCGTCTAAGATGATTCTTAAGTCCTGGCACTGATTTACTATTGAGACTACATGAGGTATATGTTAGTCGGTCACTGACTACTGGATGATCTGGATGGTTTGATTTAAAATGTCTTGTTAGGTCGCTAGAATTCCTGCACACCTTGCCACAGATGGTACATGAAAAGTCATCCAGAATATCATACGGAACAGAAATCTCTCTCTCTCTCTCTCTATATATATATATATATATATATATATATATATATATATATATATATATATAGGGTGTTTCATTAAAACGTGTTATATATAAGGGTGTTTTATTAAGACGGATAAAAGTCAGCAGTAAATAAATCAGTGTTATTGGTGAAAATTTATTTATTTCTCTATTGGATCATGTTATTTACGTCATGGCAATTATGTGTGAAAAATAATATCACCCTAATGTCCGCCAAATCTGAAAGAAAAAGAAAAAAAATCATTAGACGCTTAAATTTAATTCACATTGAAATCGGTACAAGTTATTGGAACACGCTTTATAAAGATTTTCATCAGATTTTAAACAAGTTTCATTGAAGACGACTGACAAGGTACTGCGATTAAGTTTTTCATTCAATTTTTATTGTATTCGTATAAGTGTTTTTTTCTGGACATACAGTGTGTAAAATTGTCCGAATATTCCATATATCAGAGCGCTTTCGCCTATTCTATTAGCCATTATCAAGAATGCTTTTTTATTTTTAACTGAATATGTAGATTGTAAGAATTTTTATATATATATCTAGAGTGATGGAATTTTATTTTATTTTCAAAACACGGTCAACAAATTGTGACCGTGTTAATAGTTGATACTATTGGGTGTTAGCTTTTTTTTATTATGAATGTTTCCATTATCTTTAGCCTATTTTTACATGTGGATGAGGCTATTATTGTTCTATTTTCTACGAGTGTGTTACGGATGGAGTTTGGTAGGTTTCCATGTGGGTTTAAAAATATAAAAAAAATCTACACATTCATTAAAAATAAAAACATATTTGATAATGTTTAATAGCTGAAAGCGCTCAGATATATAGAACATTTTATTGATGTTAGGCAGATTTTTTTCTTTGTGTGTGTGTGATGTGTGTGTGCGCGCGCACACAAACTATCGTGGTTATTTCTCCTTTTCATCATTTTCTTGTCTCAATATACTCTCTCTCTTTCTATCTCTCTCTCTCTGTTCCTTCATTTTTCTCTCTTTCTTCTCTGCGTGTCAATATCATTTACCCCCGTATCACAGATATATATATGCAGTTTTTATATATATTATTTATATATTATATATGCGCGGTACTTATTGGAAAGCGGTCAATATCAGTGATAGAGCTAACATATTTAGGTGGATTGATGTGAGTTTGTGACCCTGGGTTTTACGCTCTTTGCGAGTTTTTATGACGATCGCAAATACCGTGAAATCTAATCAATTCAACTATATATATATATATATATATATATATATATATATATATATATATATATATATATATTAAAAGGCTTTGCCATTTTTATGGCATCGAGCACTTTTTTTGCCAGTAAGCCATTTTTGGGCAGATTCTCCTTAGAGAGACTGCTCATTTTTCTATAAAATTCTATATTCTCTGACGTGACTTTAGTGGCCCAATTTAGTAGAGCACTTTTTGAGTCTGAAGCTTTAGTTCCTTTACTGTGGTGTTATTAGCTCATATGTCACTGAGCAATTTTCTTTGCCATACCGGCAGCCTTTTATGTTTTGCCTCTCCCCTCGGCGTATTTAGTTGGTTCGCCATCTTGAACTCGTCTGGTGGTATATAGGGTACCCATTCGACCAGCCACCGGCCGCCTGACGATTGCGTGAAAAACGCATGAAACTAGTAGTCGTGGTCGGTTACTGCCTATCAGGTTTTCTACTTTACTTTCCTTACTCTCTGCCGTGCGACGATCACTTGTGGGTAGAATCTATGACTGATGCCAAATCGTTTGGGTTTCGATCTCGGCTTGAAACAATCGAATGTCTAGCCACTCTGATCAGCTGTGATACAGCGAAACAGTCCTGTCTGTGGATGACTATATATATATATATATATATATATATATATATATATTTCATCGAGTCTGAAAGAAACCTCAATAGAATGCAGAAAGCATTGGAGGGCCGTTTCGTCCTATATTTGGGACTCATCAGCAGTGCGCATCCACTACCGAGAATTGAAACCCTGACAGTGAGGTTATCATGCAAACGTTATACCAACTTTTCCAACGGGCCAAGTTGGAAAAGTTAGACGTTTGCCGTGGACACTGAGGTTAACATCGATTAGCGACACTATGGTTCATGCTTAAACGCACTCTCCATGGCCTATAGATTGCATTTATGCATGAACCTGTCTGTCACCGCTCGGTGTTGACTTTGGTGTCTACGCGCTATCCTGCAGACTGAGCACTTTTACCCATAAATGTAGTATACCTTAAAACTAGATTTTATAACAAAGGGACTGATTAATACGCTTCTTTATCTACGCTCTTTTAAACACTCTGCTGTCGGCTAATTTAGCGAACAAACTCTCGCGTTCTGTTTTATTTTTGACGTACTTCACCGTTAGTTCTATTTCAAGTCTTCCCACGAGTGGCGCGCAACACAATTATCTCGATTATTCTTGTGATAGAAGCACTTGTCATAGCAAATTAAGAATTAATCAAACACGTAGAGAGATCAGATGGGAAATTATAATTATGAACAAAAAAATTCTGAATAAAAACAAATAAGAATTATAAATAAAAGATATGTTTAGCTTTCGTTCCGGGAACATCACTTTTTTTATATTGGCTTGTTTGATGGACTCCGACCGATGAGACTATTATTAGTGAACTAGTAAGGAAAATCATTGCTGGTGTAGTGAATTCAGTCTGCATTGGATGTTCTATTGTTGTAATTTGGTGTGGTAAGTATTTATACTCTCTAGTTTGTTTCTCTAATTAATTGTACTATCAGTTTTATTTTCCTTGTTGGTGTGCCGTGTGAGGTTTGTAGTGTTATGAATATTCAAGAGTGGTCTCCCTTTGCTTTGTTACTCTCATCTTTAAGTGAGCTATTTCTGTTTACTGGGACTATAAAAGGACACTATACGCGAATCTTGTATTCTCGGTTGAATAAAGCTTCTTAAAGCCTACATCTGCGTATTTTTGTCATTAGACGTAGGTGTGCCGTGAAAAATTTTAAAGTTCGTTAATTACATTATTTTTTAAAGAAGTCCAAAGCACAATAAGTGTACATATCAAAATCAGACCCGCCTTTAAATTGATTATACGAGTATATCATTGTTAAATATAACGTTCTAAACGTCATATTTGTGCGAATCAAGCCGTGCTGCAATAAGCAATATCAACAAGCAAAATAGAATCATTAGAAGAAGATTTAAGAGTATACCTGTCCAAAATTCAACCTTGCAAAGAAGATATTCCAAAAAGAACGTAAAACCTAGATATCTCATTAAATGCCAAATTATAATATACAAAAACATAAATAAATATGTTTTTCTTAGGAATTTTATTATCTTTTAATTATAAATTATAATAATTTGGTTTGTTTGTGCTAATAAATCATAAAAAATATACACTGTTTTTATCATCATAATTTAAGTGTTTAAGTATAGTTTCAATTGTGCCGTGAGATAAAATAAGGTTGAAAAACATTGGTTTAAGAGAATAATTTCATAGATAGGAATGTATATTTTTCTTAATTATAATTTATAATTAACCGAAAAAATGATTGTTCGAAAGCTGAAAATATAATCAAAATTGTTTTAATTTTATTTAATTGTAAATTGTTTTTTTTTTTTTTTATATTAACTTTATGAAACAAAATATTAACTGTTTAATTCGAGTTTCTTTAAATCTTATTTCAGGCAACTTCCAGATTCCATCCTATTAGTATTTCTGAGAGAGAACTCATTTTGGCGCTTTTTTGCATTTTTTCAAACAGAAGATTGTTTTTATAAAACCCGTAGGAAATGTTAGTATATGAACAGTGATGTTCGAAACAGCAAGTTTTAATGATGAATGTAGAGTCACATTGGATGACCTGGATGGATGAATTAGATGAATGTCCATTGGATGGCCTGGATGGCTGGGTTAAATGGATGTACAGTAGATGGCCTGGATGGCTGGGTTAGATGAATGTACAGTAGATGGCGTGGATGGCTGGCTTAGGTGAATGTACAGTAGATGGCATGGATGGCTGGGTTAGATGAATGCCCAATGGATGGCCTGGATGGCTGGGTGAGATGGATGTCCATTGGACAGCTTATATGGCTAGGTTAGATGGATGGCATTTGTATAGTCCGGGTGACTGGGTTAGATGGATGCCAGCTGGATAGCCTGGATGGCTAGGTTAGATGGGTGTCCATTGGATGGCTGGATTAGATGTCAACATTTATTTTAAACAGTATCTTATTTCATCTACCAGCCTGAAAATTCGAGAACTCTTATTAAAGAATAACGCGCCCTCCGGTAGAAATTTTCTCGAATTTTTAGACAGGTAAACGAAATAAAGTACTGTTTGAAATAAACGGGCATCTACTCAAATATGGGTATACACTAAAAATAGCCTTTAATGTAATAAAATATAATAGATAAAATACCATCAATTCTTTAGAAATATATATATATATATATATATATATATATATATATATATATATGAATGAAGTATATGTATGCGGCAATGAATGTCCATTGGATGTCTGAGTTAGATCGATGCCCATTGGATGGCCCGGATGGTTGGGTTAGATGGACGTCTATTGGATGGCCTTGGTGGCTGGGTTGAGATGGACGTCTATTGGATGGCCTGGGTGGTTGGGTTAATGGATGTTTTTCACTCATTCACCGTCTTCAGGCGAGTATTAGAGAAATTTTCCCAACCCAGATGTACCATGTGTCTG